TTAGAAATAAAATTATGAGCTATCTGACTTATAAATCAAGGCAACTAAATACATTAAAAGAAAGCAACTTACCCGAAAAGAGAGAAGAATAATGATGCAGCTCAGTCCGAGAACTAAGTCCCAAATGCGTGTCTCTCCAGCATGCGAAAAAACTTTCCTGACATTATCCGCAAAGCCCGATGAATCAAACTTTAGACCCATTAATCCTTTCAATTGTGATGTTCCAATGATAACAGAGGTAGCTGAAGTGAAGCCAACAGTCACTGGAATTGATATAAAATCTACAAGAACGCCTGTAGATAGAAAAAAATTAGCCAGAATTTTGATTTTTGATTTCATGAAAAAGGTAGGAGCTTTACCTAGATGGAACACTCCCATGAGCAGCTGCACACAACCAGAAAGGAAGCAGAGCAAAATAGCAAAATCAACATTTCGACCAAATGTTTGTTGATATGTCATAAGCGCCATAAGAGCAGTTGGGCCTATAGTGATGTCTTTGCAGCTTCCAAATATGGCATACACAAAACAACCCACAAATGCAGAATAAAGACCATACTGAAAAGAATGAGAGTATCTTGAATACGTACATATACATTGTAAGAAAAAAATTAATTGTAAGGCTGGAAGTTCTTATCTTACCTGAGGTTCGAGACCTGCTAAAGTGGCATAAGCCAATGCCTGTGGCATAACGGTCAGACCAACTGTGACACCAGCTATAAGGTCACAGACAAACTTTTCTTGGTTGTATTCTGGAAGCCATTCTGTGATGCGGACTCGACGATTAAGAAAACGTTTAGCACTACGCTTCCAGTTTTTCTGCTTTACAGGCATTGTAGCACCAGTGGTTATTTCCTGCAACATATAATATAAAATGAATCATTTGAAAGGATTCTAAATAATTTCTCATAGAACATGTTCTTGGGAGCTTTTGTTTAGTGACTTAAATGTACAGACAGCTCAATGCCCTATGTTGTTTCATATAACATCCCTTGCATGGTGGCAAGCGCAAAATAAAACGAATGTGCTGACAGGCGATAGGTATTCACAGAGGTATTGACACCAGCTAACGCAGATCAAAACGTAGTGTTGATATATGACATATCGTCTGCTTTGTTTACATACAAAGAGCTTGCAATTTAGAGGTTACCTCTGGCTCAGGACTCGAATTACGAGTGGATTTGGAGCACGCTGCACCGTGACTCGGCCGTTGTGACATGGTGGGGTGTGGTTGGGACCGCTTAAACGATATCCACACCTTCCACCTCGGCTCCCATTCAAGGTGCAGGGGGTGCGATGCGCCGAATGCAGAGGGAATCAAGGAGACGCCTCGGTGCTGGCGCCATGTTTGTTTCGCCCGGCGACGGGCCGGCGGGAAAGGAAAGGAGGGGGCAATAAGGTCGTAAGTGCATGACACCGCAAGTGAACCCGAACCTTGAGGAGTCCTTGTAGTCCCTTGTACTTGATCCCTGCTAGGACTCTTAGTGAACCGAAGGACCCCGAAAATGGCCAGGCCAAGTTGAATGAATGAAACGACATTCAAGTAAAACACATTCAGTGCAATGTGAGCACAATGTGGTCACGCTTTGCTGGACGCACAGCCGCACCGCACTGGACGTCATCAGGAGGAAATTAGCGGTTGCCGCAACAGTTTCAGTTTGGGAAGACCTAATAAATTGCCCGTTGTCGCCCTCCGAGAGGATGAGGATGCCTTTCTGCTCCGCGAGCCGCCGAGGAGAAGGCGGAAAGGGCCGTAGGAACGACATCGACTGGGCGGCCTCGAGGACTTTCAGAGGAGGACGGGGTGATTGTGGAAGGGCGGGAGACTGAGCCGCGCAGTGCGCTGCTGCTCGGCACGACTGGAGTTGCCGTCACCAGGACGCCGCCGTCGGCCGTCGGGACACCGTAGAGTAGTGTGCCAGGACGACGACACAACAGTATGCGGGTTCGCCTTACTGAGACCATCCGTAAGGGAACATCCGTCAAGTACGCCCGCCAATTTGCCGTCACGAAAACTGCAAAGTTCAGACAGTGGAAGCTCATCCGTGGCGCCTGATCGGTAGGCAACATATAGCCTGCAGTGCACGCATGCACTGCTGAGTGGCCTACCCTGATTTCCGCAGGCGCCGAGCTCCTGTTATTTTTGCCGAACAAATCCGAGGAAAGCGGACTCACTTTCTGGACGATCCACAAGCCAGAGGACCCCGCATTGACAGCTTTGTTCACACAAACGGTTAGTCGAGACGTGCGGCCGGCCCTTTACGCGCGTACGTACACAGGACGTCTCAGACGCAGCAGGGGGGCGGGGGCGCGACGCGCTACACGAAGGGGTCACTGGCCAGCCGGACCACGAGCCAATAACAACACGACAGGACAGGCGTCCACCCCGCCACGCCACACCCCGCCTCAGTTGCAAGGCCGGCCAAAGGCTCGTAAACCTATATCTTCCGGAGTGCGGTGTGGAGTGGCGTTGTGGCGTCCTCCTCTCCCTCCCCCCCCTCCCCCTCCACCTCCTCCAGTCCTGTCGTCCACTTCCAGTCGACCGACTACTGTCTTTGTCCCGCCACAAGGGCGCCCGTCCGTTCGGTAGTATGACATTAAGCTTCCAGCTCGCACCTCGTTGCGGCGAGGCGGAGCAGCAGGCGGAGCAGCAGGCGGAGCAGCAGGCGCACTCTTTTAATGCCCCGCTCCGCATCGGTGTCAAGGACCTAGGCAAGCCGCCCATAAAAGTGCACAGGATGGGTATGGGAAGTCAACAAAAACACCGGGGTGCCCGGAGAAAAATAAATAAAAATAAAATAATAACGTAGAGGAAAATTACTTGGGTGTGCAAATTTTGAGCGCTCATGCGGGGGAGTAGTTTAAATGTGTAAGTAATATTTGGTTTGATATGGGGATTGTTTCACATTTATGTAGGGCGCGAGGTACGGAAAAAATAGCATCGCAAGAGGTCGTTCCTCATTACGCGAGCTGTACAGCTGTTCTCATCTGTGTGCGCAGGTGCGCCCGTTTAAAGCATCACCCAGGTTTTTCGTTTTGCGTTGCGCTGTGCCGCTCCATTTGGTTTGCGGCGCTCTTCTCCTCTCCCGGACGCCGCCGGCGTTGGCCCGCCGTCCTCGCAGCTGTGTGTGGCTCCAGCAGCCATATGCTGCAGCTAGACTCGAGCCACGCTTTAGCCACGCTCCAGCCCTGCACGCGGTCGGATTTAACCGAGATTGAAAAGAATGAGGGCGTCAGCGCGAGGAAAGTGGGGGAGGGATGTGAGGCGGGGGCTTTCCTTGCGTATTGTGTATGTACTCGCCCGACGGACTCCAGTGTGTGTGACTCCAGGGGGTTTCAGCGAGTCCCCCCGCTGCCAGCAAGGTGTTCGCTCTCGCCCATGTCTCGCCCCCGGTCCCGGTCCGTCCCCGTCCTGACGTCAGCCGCTCTGGCGGGACCCTGCGCGCCCATCTCGTCCGCCCTTTGAGACCCACTCACACTCATTTCCTCGCCGTGTTTTGAATCGACCCGGCAGGTCATCAACCGTCGGACAGAGCGGAGAGGGGAGGCGGCGGAGTGTGCCATAAAGAGTCAGTGTAAGGTTCGCGGGGTAAAGCGATACGCGGAGAGAATGTTGTCGGAGATAACGAGAAAAAGTAAAATCGGCGATGACGACGCCTTTCTCGTGTATCCCACCCTCCCCACGCCCCGCCGGCTTCCCAAGAGATTGCCTCATATACATAGATCCATTATCGCCAGAACCCCCCAACGGGGGATGTAAGGAGCTAGAGATGCTGCCGGGTTTTATTTTGTCGTAGAGGAGGAGAGGGAGGGAGTGGGCATGGGCAGGGGGAAGCACCTTCATTGGGGGAGTGTCGACGGCGTGGGGCGCCAGGGCAGGCCATGGCGGGCCAGGGCGGGACAGGGCGGGCCAGGGCGGGCCAGGGCGGGCCAGGGCGGGCCAGGGCGAGCCAGGGCGCGCCAGGGCCGGCCAGGGCGGGCGGTCGGCTCCTCGACAAAGCTATAGTTAGGACGTCTGCCCCGCCGGCGTCACCCCGGCACCGCCGCCACGCCCGGGCCTTCCCTGCCCGGCCCGTCCGGCGGCCCCCCGTCCGTCCCGTCGTGTTCCTCGTCGCACCGAGTGCAGCGCGAGAGCATGGCGGGGGGCGCGGCGGGCGCGGCGGG